CACAGTAGATGTAGAATCATTTAATTAAGAAGACTTGAAAGCTATACAAGTATTTGTTGAATTTGTTGTCTTCTTTTATATTCAACAGTATGCTGGCTACTTGGGAGAAGAGGAGGACTGTAGTTTGAGCCCAGCCTGAGAAAAAAGCTTGCAAGACATCTCAACCAATAAGAAACTGGGTGGTGTCATGGTGAATGCTGTCATTGCAACACAACAAAACATAAATAGAATTGGTATCCAAGCCAGCTGGGCATAAACTCTAGACCCTACTTGAAAAATAATGAAAGCAAAAGTTCTGGAGGCATGGCTGGGTTGATAGAGTGCCTGCTAAGCAAATACAAGCCTCTAAGATCAAAACCTAGAACTGAAAAAAAAAAAACCACCTAAAACAAAAACAAACAACAACAACAACAAAAAAAAAACTCTGCTAGTAAAATCATACACCAGAGAATCTATAGGAAAGCTTTCTGTGGACTTATGATTTCTTATGGGATATAAAGTAGTTTTTTTCATCCTCTCCCCTTCCTGATGTATCTTGTTAGAAATGAGCTTCATATCTAATTAGGTTCTTTTGTGTTCTTTTTTGGAAAATGCACTCGGACTTCAAATTTTGTTTGTTTGATTTGTTTTATGTTTGCAACATTCACTTACTTAGCACAAGAAAGATAAAACCAAAGTCAAAACAAAACCATAGCAAAAAAGCCCCAACTAAGTTGGAAAGAGTCTAAGGAAAGTAGAAATTAAACTACTTAAATAAAAGATAAAAAATGCCGCAACCAAGTATTAACAATATTGTAATGACAAGATGATTTTGCTTGAACAAAATCTCAAATACTTCATACTTCTCTGTTGCTATGGCAGAAAAGCAAAATTATTGTTAAATAGGAATGGGGAATCTAATTTCTTCAACTTCATCTGAACATCTGGTCACCCAGCACTCTGAATAGTCTACAGGAAACTGTACATTTACAATGAAACTCATTAGCATAATACTTAATATATTAATTAGAATAATTGGATGAATACCTTTCTGTGTGAAGTTCATAGGATATTTGTCACCTGGAGTTAGAAATCTGTCTAAAGTTTCAATAACTTTTTGATTTACAATTTGAGAATATTTTATCCTCAAATCCCTGGGCTGTATTTTTTCCTGAAAAATTTGAGTTTGAATTATTTGCAACATTTCAGAATGTGACCATAAAAAATAGATACCATGCATGCATCAATGTGCCTTTTTCTACAATCTAAAAGACAACCTAAAAATAAAATTTAACAGTCTTTAATTTGTCATGTGGAATCTGATTCTATGTGTTCTTTATTACCTCCATATATTTATCTAAGTGAAATATAAAATGGTTGTGATAATAGAAAATTTAAAGTAGCTTTTGTACATGGACAGTAATGCTAACTAATCTGGTGAATTAAGGCTGAATGTAAATTCTCAGAACCTCTGTTTCTTGTGATATCATTGTTAAAGGCGGCATACCTTGGTGAGATGATGCAAACTTCATGTTACCCTAATTAAGCTATGGCAAACTTTAGTAGAATGGGAAATAATATGTCATAATCACTGAAATGCAACTCAAAGCCCCATATATTTATTTAGTTTTCAACTCAATTCAACATACATTAGATCCCAAAACTGTGAAAATATAAAAACATATATTTTGTCTTCTGTAATTATGCCCTGGGATTCTCATGTATGCATTCAGAGATAAGCTAGGCATAGCATCAATCAGTATAATCTAGTATCTGGAGAGCTCCTGTGGATCTGATTCATGTATTCTTGAACACAGCCTCTGTTGTGCATTTCACTTGCATCTTGTCTTAAGTCTCCAATTTCATTGCAGTTAGCCTATCTCAATGGCCACATTCCTGCCTAAAACTCCAGCTCACTTTTCTCACTTTCAACATGCCAGCTTACTTTTCTCTCTTTTATTAGATATACTTGCCCATAAAACAGAATTGCTCCTGAACCTGTGCTGCTGAGGAATTTCTCAGCCTCTTCTTGATTTATGTGATCAAATCCCAAACATGTTTTGGAATAAACTCCACAACATTTATTCATCCATACTCAGCAAATCCTTACGTCATTCTACATTGCTAAAAATATCCAGAATGTGTCTCTCCTTTTTTCTCTGCCCTCTGTTACTCATCCATAAAAATGCTACCTTTTCATTTAAACCTTGGATACTTGAAACAAAATTAGTTATTACAGTGTAGTGTGTAACCACAGTGCTTCACACATATCCCTTGTTGGTAATTAACTTTTATTATTATTTTATGTGTCTACAATCTTAAAACATCCTTCCTTTTAGAAGCCAAAAATAATTGTATTTTTATTTGTATAATTTAGGGTGTAACACAGTAGCGTGTGGAGGTGAATGCTCTCATTAAACATTTGTTAAATGAGTAAAAAATCCCAGAAGTTCAGAGAAAAAACAACACAAAAATGTTCTGTTGGCTGGCTATAGAAAAATAATTTCAGTCAGAACACATGTCTTAGGATCATATTATACAGATCAATATTTTATTTTATTTGTGCCAGTCCTAAGGCCTGAACTCAGGACCTGGCACTGTCCCTGACCTATCCCTTTGCTCCAGGCTAGTGTTATACAAACTCCAGTTCCTGCTTTCTTAATTGGTAACCAAAGGTGTGTCTTGCAACTTTCCTGCTTCTTCAGGCTTTGAACTACAATCCTCAGATCTCAGCCTCCTGAGTAGCTAGGATTATAAATGTCAGCTCTTGTATAATGATGTCATTATTACAGAATGATGACTCAGCAGGAAAACATTTTTAGTTTCACAAGCTTTCAGTCAGTGTATAAACTTGTAATGGTGTATTTGTTATACATGTAGATAATTGCATAATTAATATTTTTTTCCTGTACACAGGTTCTCAGATCTACTCCATCAACACTTACATATGCTCCTTCTAACCAGCTATCATTATTTCTATCTATTCACATACGTGAAATCAGGCTATAAAAATACTAAAAATATTCTAAGGAAAAGAATAAGCTTTTTTTCTTTTGTCTTCTTTTTTATCTTGTAGGTCATGGGGCTTGAACTCAGGGTTTGGGCATTGTCCTTGAGCTCTTTTGCATAAGGCTTGTGCTCTACTACTTTGAGCAACAGCACCACTTCTGGTTTTCTGATGGTTAAATGGAGAAAAGAATCTCATGGACTTTCCTGCCAGGAATGGCTTTGAACCTCAGTCCTCAGATCTCAGCCTCCTAAGTAGCCAGGATTATAGGCATGAGCCACCAGCAGCTGGCTAAAATAAGTACTTATGATACCACAATCCTTTGAAACATAAAACTTATATTGATCTTCAGATTACTGGCCTGAATTATGCCTTCTACAAGAAAGACTTGTAAATATTTTATAAGCAAATAAAACATATAAGTCTAAAAGTTAATTGAATATGTCTACATACATAATACTACTTTTATATATAAGTTTATAAATTAAAACAACATTAATAAAAAGCACTGTATTGGGCTCATGCCATTTCACAAACCAATAATATTATTTTATTAAGTAGTAACACCTTTGCAAAATGTCTTTTAATTGCTAAAATGTGTAACACCCTAAATATGACAGACTGATAACAATATCTGTAAGTCAAATAATAAGTACACATGAAAAACATTCTAATACTATAATAAAAGTTTCTGACTATATATGAAAATATTTTGTACAGCTCTATCTACATTTTCTTTTAATTAGTGGCATGATACCTTATTAAAATTGTATATGATTTAAAACTGTATTTTACATAAATTGAATTTTTTAATCCATTACTGGATTATATAAGATCTATTCAGCTTCAATAAAGCTATATTAAATGATCATAAATTGAATTTAGTTGGTATGAAGAGACAAATATGTGACCATGTTTTATAGGAGAAAAATGTACACCAAACTTTAAGCTTATATACTGAAGTCTCTGGGTACATTGGCTCACCCTTTTAATCCAAGATCATGGTTTGAAGCCAGCTGGGAAAAAAGTCAGTGAGACTCATTTTCAATGAACTGCCAATAATATGGAACTGGTACTGTGGCTCAAGTGGTAGGTTGTTTAACTTGAGCAAAAAAGCTCAGGGACAAGCTCCTGACCTTTGTTCAAGCCCTAAGACTAACTCTCTCTCTCTCTCTTCTTCTCTCTCTCTCTCTCTCACACGCACAAATACAATTAAAACTGAATCCTTTTAAATTTTTCTTTGCAAATTTTGTTTATATTGATATTATTAGAGCTTACCTTGTTCTTTCGTGCTGGGTGCTAATTTCCTAAAATCATTTATAAGAAGGAAGTCACTATATTTAAAATTATTTTAAAATATTTATATTTTATATAAATATATAATAAAATAATTTTAAATTATTTTAAATAAATTTAAAATAATTTTAAATATAGTGACTTCCTTCTTATATTCTTAAATTATGGCAATTTTAACTTACTAAATATTAGCTTTATAGATGACCACTTTTCCTTTTTAATATGCCATCCAATCATATTTTTAATCAACACATAGCTGTGTACAAACATTCAGCATATATAAGCCTTTTGTCTTTTTTTCCCATGAAGAGCTCAGAATATGTTCTTTCTTAAATCTTTTTTAGGATTAGTGTAGCTAGTTCTATAATCAAGTTGTTTAAGACACAAGAATCATATGTACAAAAACCATTTTAAAAACTGAGATCAACTAAGAAATTGAGAAGTCAAAGATACACTTGAATCCACCAAACAAACATATCCTTAAAATTTCCTTGGACAGTACATGCAAACACATCCTAGAATTTATTTAGAGACTACCATATGCTTTGATGCCACCATTTGAACTTTGGAAATTATGTGATCATCCAACTATATTTTGGGTATTTCATGTCTTCAGACCTTTCCTGTTACTTCTTCAAGACAGAGTCAGGACATTTTTAATAAAATATCCCTCTGTTACCGATAATCGTTTGAGCTGCTCCTTTCTTTCCTTTTTCAGAATGAAGAACAAGTTTTGGTACTTTGAATTTGGCACATCTGAAACATTCTCAGCAACCTGCAAGAAGCTACATGAATCAGTAGAAATAGAAGTAAGAAAATGAGTCTGCTTTTACAATTGTATGATGTGGTTGTTATTATGTTGATGGTACCGTCTGTGTAATGACATACACACAAACTCTAAAACATCATTTCTAACAGTCACAGAGCATGTAGAGCTGTCTGAAACAAAATTATAAAGTTAAGTGGGGGTATGAGTTATTTAACGTAGAAGAAAGCATACACGGAAGATGTCAGACAAAAGAAAATATTGGATAAATCCAAAAAGAGTTTCAAGATACAAATTTTTAAAAAAAACCTTCTTAAGGTCTCATATCTCAGAACCTTTAAAACACAGCTCACTAAAACTATACTTATTTTCAGGAATAAAAGTTAAAGTATACACTTTCTAATTCCATTCCCTTTCATTAGCTAGCTTTTCTCAGTTCCCAAGGTTGCCATTTCACAGGTACATATATAGGAAGTGAAAATTGCCAACAAAGCAAGCAAAGATAATAAATAAAGACATTTAAAAAAGACTTGACGCAGACAGGCCTACAAAAATTTTGGACATATAGAATTAAAAGGGCTGGCATAATGAAATATTTCAATGATTAAAACAATGTAAAAGTTACATGTTTAGTAAATTGATAAACAAAAATCAAAGGAACCAAATTATGAAGCATGGGTAGCTAACAATTCACTGATATGATCAAGAAATATTGCATGAATGGATAGTGATATAAATTTTAAAATATATGCTTTGACACTTTTCTTTGTAAAAGTAAGCGTACAAATTGTATAGAAAAGTCATTAGTGGTAGGGCTGGGAAGGTGGCTCAGTGGTAGAGCGCTTGCCTTGCATGCATGAGGCCCTGGGTTCGATTCCTCAGCACCGCATAAGCAGAAAAAGCCAGAAGAGGTACTGTGGCTCAAGTGGTAGAGTGCTAGTCTTGAGCTGAAGAGCTGAGGGACAGCGCCCAGGCCCAGAGTTCAGGCCCCACAACTGGCAAAAAAAAAATTAAGGTTATATATATATATATGGTAAGATATTAAGGTAATAATTTGGTAAGCAAAGCAGTTATGGTTGACATAGGTTTATAATAGCTCTGTAAGGCTCCTGATATCTTATGTTTTAATTTATTGTTATTAATCATCATGATCAGATTGATATTAGTCAATGTAATCATTTTGTGCTTTTAACTCATTGTGATCGGAAATGAACACTAGAAGTAGACTGGACAATTATGGAATAGGGAGAGCTTTCATAAATGAATTAGATAATTATATGGGAAAGAAATATGATCACAGAAGGTGAAGCATGGGAGTTCAACATGAACATTCTATGATTTTTGTTCATGATGATATATCTATGCATATATATTACATATTGATATAATCATGAATAACATCTCATATTAATTATAATATATTTAAATAATATGCAATATAGGAATGTATATAGTTATATCTCTTACATATTTTTAAACATTTACTTAAAGCTGGGCACCAGTGGCTCACACCTGTAATCCTAGGTACTCAAGAGGCTAAGATCTGAAGATCATGGTTCAAAGCCAGCCTGGGCAAGAAAGTCTGTGAAATTCTTATCTCCAATAAACCACCAGAAAACTGGAAGTGGTGCTGTAGCTAAAGTGGTAGAATGCTAGCCTTGAGCTGAAGAGCTGAGGGACAGCGCTCAGGCCCAGAGTTCAAGCCCCATGAATGACAAAAAAAATTATATATTGTCATATATAGTTATTTAACTACAGTTTTAACCTTCAAAATTATTGTTTTGGTGAGTGTGTGTGTGTATGTATGTGTGTGTGTGTGTGTGTGTGTGAGTGTGTGTGTATGTGTGTATGTGGGTGGTGTATATGTATATGCTGGGACTGGGACTGGAACTGGAACTCAGGGCCTGGTATGGTTCCTTAGCTTTTTCACCAAAGGTTGATACTTTCCCACTTGAGCCACAACTCCACTGTTGGCTTTTTGGTGGTTATTGGAGATAAAAGCCTTGTAGACTTTCCTTCCCCAGCTAACTTTGGCTTAGAACTCTTTTTCTCAGATATCAGCCTCCTAAGTAGCTAAGATTATAGGCATGAGTCAGAAAGCATCACCTGGCTCAAAACAAAACTACTTTGTACAGATTTAGGGCATTTCTTATTCTCAGAAACCTATGCTCAAAGAACATCTGTAAAGAAGCCAAAATTTAAAATATATGGAGAGATATAACTTGGGGTGACTATAGCTAGAAATGTTAAGTGCTCTTGCTTCTCCCCTTCTGTTAGTCTATCCGTAAACACAGGCTGAAAAGCCATCAGTACAAATTAAAAAAAACCTTCAGGGAAGTGTGATACTATGTAGAAAGAGTATTTTATGAATGAAAACATATAGAAAACATTGGGTAGTGTTTGTGGGATTTTTAGCTTCCTTAATGGTGATAAAATGAGTTGTTTTATTCTACACAGCTTTACATTTGATAAAACGACTACTTGGGATGTTCTCAAGAAAACTGTGTGAGAACTAAGTTCTTTTGAGTCGTATTTCTACATATTTTCAACATCTGGCTTTCTGGTTCTTCATTGCTGGTTTGTTCTGGGAACAAGAACAGTAGCAGGTGTAATGGAGTCGGCCTTGTGCACACTCCTCATTATATTATTGAATATCTTGAAGTATATGTGTGTGTGTATGTGCGCGCGTGCGTGCGTAGGCGTGTGTGCATGCACACACATGAACACAAGTCTGGCAATGCAAATCCCTCTCTGCTCACATTTTAATGAATCTAGTCTATCATATTAGTAGAATATGCCTTTCTACCCTCAAGGTTACTTTATAATTAAATATAACAAAAACAGTAATTCGGAAATTTGATTCTGCTTGCTATTGCTTCCTATGTGGCCTAACGTCATACCAACTAGGTTTGAAAAATATATAATAAGGAATAAACCATGTTAGTAACAGCAGAACCTCGAGCAATGAATGTGTGTTTTATTGGTGGCTTTCTTTAAAACGAGCCACTTTCTGTTTATCTTTTTATTTCATACTCCTCCTTTCTATAGGGATCTTTTTCCAAAGGGAGCACATGTTTGGGATGAAATAAACATCATGGGATAGTAGTTCACAACAATATTAGCAAAGATTTTCCTATTAACTTTACTTCATGAGAGATACTAAGCAGTGTGAATGCACTAATATCATCTTCATCAAAACACTGTGAATGAGAGAGATACTGTTAAATTTCCATTGTGAGTTAAACCTTTTCTTTAATGGGATAAGAGGAGAAAAAAGAATTATATTTCTGCCAAAATGTTTAAATGTAAAGAAACACATCAACTAGAAATTTATATAAAATATAAATATGTGTAGAAAGAAAGATAACAATTTACAACAAATCACTCAAAACTATATATACAAAGAAAAATGATTTACACAGTAAACATTTTAATTAAAAAATCTCAATTATCTTCGAACTTTATTGTGGCACATTAAAAGTAGATAAAAAGGCTTTAATATTACAAGAAAACATTTTGAAAACAAAGTTTATGTTAAAATATTTTGGAAGAAGGATGTATGGCTGTTTAACACCTAGCTGGGTGCTGGTAGCTTACTCTTGTAATCCTAGCTACTCACAAGGCAGAGATAAACTATACAGGTTCAAATCTAGCCCAGGAAGAATAGTCTTTGAGATTCCATCTTCAATTAATCAGAAAAAAATGCAGGCTGAAGGCATGGCTTAAGTAGCAGCATACCAGCTGTGAGCAAACAAGCCAAAAAGAGGGCATAAGTTCAAACCCAGTAACTCAGTACTGGCCAAAAATGGAAAAAATAAAAAATAAAAAAAAATAAAAAGAATCGCAGGTCAGCATCTTTGAAGGAAGCAAAAGGTCACCATCCTTCTTGTTAGTATTGAAGTTAATTTGCGAATGAGAAAGCCTTACTGTAGTTCTTAAAATCTTTTTGCTGTCAGCAAGACCAGAAAAGGTGATAAATTTAAACATCAAGAATTTTCATTCCAAGTGGAACAAGAAAACTTAATGAGACTGGTTTGAGAAGGGGGAGGGAGGAGGAGGGACAATGGCAGAGGGGTGATTATGACCAGAAACCTTGTATGCATAAATGGACTTAGTAAGATGAAATCCCTTGTATAATTAATTGATGTAAATTTTAAAAAGAATAAAGTAATTACTTCTAAAGAGGGGCAAAAATAAAAGAATTTTCATCCTTGAATGTAGAGATTCATCCAAACAATTAAATGCTTCTACAAACCTAACTGATCTCAAGAATGAGTAAGTAACAAGAACAGAATCAAGGACACAACATCAGTGATGAAAATTTGAAAGATGAGATTTTTTTTTTATCACCCCGTAACCTGGGAACCAGAATTCTTAAAGGTAATGGGACTATTTCTCACCATTAGTCCCTGCCAATATTAAGTCCCTGAGCCAATATTAAGATTACCTATAAAAAGGTGTTTTATGTTTCATTGAGTAAAGTTATGAATAATTTTTATCTGACTTAACAGAGGAGCCAACTCATTATGGAAAAAAAATTACAACTGATCATTAATTGTATCTCATCAGATAACCCAACTGTACTTAAACCTCTCCAAAGTTTCTACAATAAGATTGATAATACATTAGGAGAAAAAAAAAAAAATATATATATATATATACACTAAGCTTTCTTTTAGGTAAATTGGTTTGGGGAATACAACCTTCCATTTTAAAACTTTACAAAAAGTAGCAAGCGGCATTGCTCTGTGATTGTACCCATAATATTATATATTAATGACTTTTTCGGCATAATAAAAATATCAGGAGCTATTAGAACTAAGGCTGTTAGCTTTTAAGCTTTTATATGCTATTCTTCTATAACTACCTTTTGAAAAATCATAAATCCTCCCATTATATGAGAATAGTATCTGACACAGTATGATCACTTGTTTATATTTCATAACCTTCACCCCAGATTTCATTTTCATCAACTCAACTGGTGGCTCTATTCTTGTCCCCACAAGTACTAGCATTGAAACTTTCCAGACCAGTGAACATAACAATAAATCAAACAGGAAGGTGGCCTGAGGTCACAACTACTGGAAACAAACCATTAATAAATAGCTATTTATTTAAGTTCATGGTCCGGCTTTCAAAGGAACATCAGTGTTCTTTATCAGTCCTGGTTCTTGGCAGTTCCCTGAGATTTTTTTTTTCACTTCTTGGAGAGTTTCTTACTGTGTTCTACACTTGCCATGACTCTGAATATGGAAACATGAGTTCACTGGTGATTTTCATTGTCACCCATATCAACACTAGTTCAATTAAAAAGAAAATAAAAAGCCTATTTGCACTTCTGCTCTCCTTTTCTGCAGATGAACAAAGGAATCTTCCTTTACTAATTCTGAAAGTAACTTGTCACAGTGGGGTTCTAAGGCCTAGTCAAATAATTGTCTTAGTGGACTACCTGCTGTGTTCAATATTGAGTGAAAATGGAAGCCAGGCCCCAACTCCAGGCTTATTTCACAATTCTTCTGTTATTTAAATGATTTTAGTCAGTTTGGGGGAAGCCAGACCTTTATAAATTAACAGCAGGGAAATACCAAAGGTGTCAGATTGCATATTTATCATCTTTTTCGTGTAATACTTAAATATGTATTAAGAAGTGACTGACATAAATTAGGCAGATTTCAGAAGCCACAGGCCGTGGCTTGTAGAGGACCCCCTTCTGCTTGACATTTCATCCTTGTCAAAGATCAAATTATTTTAATTTAGGCTGCAAATTATAAGGAATGAAGACTTCTTTGTGGGAATTCCCTGTGGTAATCTGACTTTTGTTGTTACTGCTGCTTGTCAGTGTGCAAAAGATATAATATGCATGCAAATAAGGTTAAAAAATATGTACTATCTAATTATCCAGCCAGTACATTCCACTTGAAGACAGTGGGAGGCCTGACACACAGTATGTGTTTGATTCATTGAGGCCTGCAGGGTATTTACACAAGATTACTTTTAATTATGAAATTAATATCTGTTTATCTAGAATATATAGTGGTAAGTGAGTATACACATGAGCAGAATTTTTCAGTAGAAAGAAATCTTAATTTAATACATGAAAAGGAAGAAAAATCACTTGTTTCTGGGGGAAAAAAATAAATACATCATCCAGTGCTTGGTTTCACCCTCATTGAAGCAAATTGAAAGAAAAGTTGGCTCTTTTTCTCAAATTTGTTTTTACCCCTGCCAAGTACGCTCAAGATGTGTTGCTTTAACCACAGTTTTAATTTTTCTTTTTTGATGAACAAGTCATAATGCTAATTCAGAATGATGAGGGGAATGTAGAAAAAAAGAGATGGTTTGGGTTGTTTTGCTATTATTTTGGCTGAGCCTTGCTTTGTCCTAAGCCTAAAAGTCTGGATTTCTGTATAAAGTAATGATGTTACTATTCATAATTAATTGTCATAAGACATGCCCCAGTGCTTCAATTTGTGACATACTTAATCCTAACAAATCTATTTCTTAGACAATGAGCTATAAGTGTCTCTCTCTTCATACTGATACATCATGAAAAATAGGATAATTTCTAGAATAAATTAATAATAATCATTTTTTAAAATACCCAATGACTAAATACATATTCAACAGCTATGTATAAAATACCCATGATTCATACCAACTATCAGGAGGTTGAGATCTGAGGATCACCATTCAAAGCCAGCCCATGCACATCTTATCTGCAATTAACCACCAGAAAAGCAGAAATGCAGGTCTGGCTCAAGTGGTAGAGAGCTAACCTTGAGAGAAAAAAGATAAAAGATAACATCCAAGCCCTGAAATCAAGCCCCCATAATAGTACACACATTTTTAAAAAGTACAAAATAGCATTGCTAAGTCACTTTCTACATATCCATAAGCAAACATGAACCGAAAATTTAAAAATTTAAACATGATCACTCTGGCTGCAGCAAAGCACTGTGTGTTAGTAAGTTATTTATTTCAAATGCAGTAAAGTATTTTGACATTAGACCAAAAAAAAAAAAACAAAAAACTTTTCTCAAAGTCTTTATGACAGCAATGTTAGAGTAGAGTAAGGTTTCCATGGATAATCTCTTTTAATGACACTCTCCTCATTTCTTTCATATTCATTGTAAGACTATGCTTACCTTGCTCTGGATATCCTTCTTAGAATTTTGTCTAGACTCCAAAACCATTCTTAGCCACTCCAAAGTGATTGAGAACATGTAGACTTGACATTTTGTACTTTAGCTTTCTTTTTCACAAGTCTTTCAAGCCACTGTTGTTTTCCCCAAAAGAAAAGGGAAACCATGACTCATGAATTCAATTTCTTTGCTTTCTCCTAATAGTTCCTTGCAGTAAGTTCTAAACAGTCAACAGTTATTAAAATTTCTGCCTGAAATTTTACTACACATCACAGTTTCAACCTTCCCATAACATAGTGGAATGTAGTAGGCACTAATGTATGTCTCTCTCTTGAAGGTTTTTCTGTAAACAAGGATAGTGATTTAATTTTGATCATTATTGAAAGATTATTAATGATTGCTTTATCTTTTATGTTGACATTTAAGGTAAACATTTCAAGTGTCCTTGAAAGAGCTCTTTTAGAAATGATAAGATTACAAATGTGAAGGTTCTTATTAAAAACTAAGGAAATCAAAGGGAAGGAACCAAAGAAAGACAAAACAACCTAAAATTTCTGTATTATCTTTATTTTCTTTTTACTGATCAGTGTGACGGAGTCCAGATAGATTTAATAAACATCTCTCTGGAAGGAATAGCTATTTTGAATATACCGAGCATGCATGGAGGCTCCAATCTTTGGGGAGAGTCAAAGAAAAGAAGAAGCCATCGGAGAATAGAAAAGAAAGGGTCTGACAAAAGGCCCACCCTCACAGATGCCAAAGAGTTAAAGTTTGCAAGTCAAGGTAAGGTTCTTCACAATTCACTGCATGACTTGCTTAAGATTCTGCTTTTCAATGCTATCTTGAAAAGGAAAAAAAAATCTTTTCTTGCACTATTAAAATGAACATTATGCAGCTGAGTTTTCTCATATTACCAGATACAATGTGGTACATTTATATCTTGGAGATTCTGAAATTATATATGTTTTTATCACTTTTACCTAAAGTAGGAAGATGTTTGAATAGCTCACAACAAGCTTTGATTCTCTACTGTTGTTCCTCTTGCAAGTTAATATCAGAGAACAAAGAACTTGTAGATACAAGAGCTACGGGAAAGTTTCTCAGTACTGTGTAATATAGTTCATATTGGGGTTACACCTAATTCTTGATAAATTGTAGAATAAAAATATTAAAACAATGATCGTTCCCATGATTTATGTATTTGAAGCTGAAATATTTCCTTTACCTTCTAGAATTTGTCAATACCATCAATGGTATTTTGAAATTAGAAACCATAATGTTTAAACTGTTTGGTAAAGACAAAATATGAAGAAGTCACTCAGCATATGTAAACAGAAATGTGAATTAACCAAATAGAAATAGAAATGTAGAAAATATGAAGATAGTCAATGAACCTGATGATGGGAAACAATAGGTCTCTACTTTGTGTAATAGATTCAAATTTCAGCAGAGAACAAGGACTTTGCTTATATGGACTTTGGTATAAATGAGACTGACAAAAATAAGTGTTAGGTATTACACATAGAAAAGCTTATTACAATCTTCTGATGACGTGGTTTACTCAGAATAGCTATACTCAGAAAGCAATCCAACTGTATAAATAGATAGCATTCTGAGGGAGAAATACATAGACAAATATTATGTTTATCCTCTATAAAATATTGAGAAATAAATATGATTATTAATAAGTTATTGCTATTAATATGGAATTTGTAATTAAATATAAATTAAGTGTATGATTAATAAATTTCTAAGTTCCTTTTGATCTTGTTTTCTATTATGATTAGCTTAGGATCATACTAAAACCAAACTCAAGAACTTTATATATACACATATATAATATATACATGATATATATATGGTACATATCTACACACCCACATTCATTGCTTCTTGCATTAGAAATACTTTTACTATAAAAAACATGAAATAATACATACAAAGAAAATGCTTTGCAGCTTTTTCTGTTTCATTTTGTTTTGTTTTGTTTTTTGCTAGTCGTGGGGCTTGAACTCATGGCTTGGGCACTGTTCCAGAGGTCTTCTGCTCAAGGCTGGTGCTCTACCACTTTGAGCCACATCACCACTTCCAGTTTTGTGGTGATGGAGATAAGATAGTTGGAGATAAGAATATTAAGGCCTTTCCTCAGATCTCAGCCCCCTGAGTAGCTACAACTATAGGCATGAGCCAACGGCACCTGGGATGCAGGCTTTATATTATATATATATATATATATATATGTATATATATATATATATATAATTTTAATTTGAATATTTCATATTATATCTATATGACATGTACTATATTACAATCTACTAACACTGGGCATGTTATTCATGAGGACACAGTCCTTGGAAGCTCAGCTGATAACTACTATTTCCACTATTGATTTTCTAAAATACCTCTCTGTGCCACACCTACATGAATATCTGTATCAATGTATTCACTTATCTATATAAACAGAGAAACCCTGTAAGAGTCATACTGCTTTCTTGGCTTCCCTCCTGTTTATAAGCTGTGTTCAGGAATGCCCATTTGAAATAAATCATACCATAACTATTCTCACAGACTCTCATAGGAAAAGCTCTCTTTTTCCTTCTGTCTTTGCTCTCTACTGTGGATCTTAGAGCCAACTTTCATGCATTCTGAGAGAGGAGAAAGTGCGAAGATACAAGTTGTGATTCAGGAATATGTTTCTTTTTTATTTTATTTCATTGTAAAGGTGATGTACAGAGGCTTTACAATTACATAAGTAGGGTAATAAGTACATTTCTTTTCAAACAGTGTTGCCCCTCCCTCATTTTCTCCTGCCTTCCTTCCCATCAACTCCCCTCCTGCCCCCAAATTGTAAATTTCATTTCCAACATAGTGTCTAGTGAGAATTGCTGTTGCATTGGTTCATCCTTTGTCCCACCATTTCTGGTTCCCCGCCCTTCCCCAAATCAGATAAACACATATAAGACAAAGGGTACCGAAATCTGAAACAGTGACAATGGGGAATAAACCAGGGGAGGGAAAAAAAAAAAGAAATAACTGCAAACAGCATGTTTCTTTATGCACTTTTTGAAGTGTGTATATGAGCAATAACAAAAGCATGCTTACGCTTGATTGCACTCAACTTTTTGTGATGTTAGTATGTAAGTCACTATTTCAAATCAAAATAAACTTCAAATTTACACAAAATTGCCACAGGCATTTACATGGCAACATTTTTAATCTATAATTAAGTTACTAATTTTACACCTAGAAAATATACCAGGAAAGATATATTTTGTTTCTAGGAAAAAATACATATATTTATTTTTCAGAAAGCATTTTCTTATATTATTTATTATTAATATTTCTAATACGCTTCTGTAAAACTTGTCAGAAGCTTCAACCAAACTTTTAATATAGTTTTGGAATGACTGCTTATTTTCTAAACTTTAGGGGGAAAGAAACTACAGATGGAGGTAAACAAAGCATAACTAAGTATATGTGGGAGATATAAATTATTATTATTATTATGTTGTTGTTGTTGTTGTTGTTATTTTAGTGTGCTTGAAATCAGAGCCTGAGTGCTCCTCCTTAGCAATTTTTGCTCAAGGCTGGCACTTTACTACTAAGCCACAGCTCCGCTTCTGGCTTTTTTTACTGGTTAAGTGGAGATAAGAATCACATGGACTTCCCTGCCCATGCTGGCTTTGAAATATAATCCTCAGATCTCAGCCTCCAGAGTAGCTAGGATTAAAGATATGAGCCATCAGCACCTAGTCAAAAAATTGTTTTGATATAAAACTTTACACATTTTTTCCTTTACCTAAATATATGCCATAGACTAAAGGTACTGAAGCTGGTATATTAAATCTGTAATACATTAATACATGGACTGACAGCCTGCAAATTACTTGTTTGTAATCTTTGGGAGCACTCATATAAGAGTATTTTTAATTGATGCATTGGTTGGAAATTATATTGTCAATTCAGGGTTCAATAAAATGATAAGTAATTTTATCATTCCATTGAAATATATTATGGTATCCAGATGTAATTGAAACATATTCATACTCACATTCCTCTAATGCAGTATGTATTTTCTTTGTGTGTGTTTATAAATATAAATGAATATATTATATATAGGCAGCACAGTCTTTAGGAAGAACTATAAAGTAATCCTTGATTTTTCAATGCTTCCAGACTGAATATTCAGTCTCCTACAGTTGCTGAGTTCATCATCATCACCTCCTCTTTTAAATTAACCTGAGAAAGATGTCTAATAAATGCATTAACATTAATATATAAATGACTGATTGCAGATAAAAGTGGTGGGTATTTGCATTTAAAAAGAACTAAAGGCCTTCAGTTAAAACATTATTTTTTATATGGTGTTCTACTGAGGTATAACTGCAATTCTTCAGCACTTCTGTAAAATCTGATTTTAGATATGTTGCCATGTTTTGGAGCATATATGTATACATTTAATCTTCAATAAAAATACACTAAACTCTATGACATAGTAGCTATTTTCAATTTATTAGTTGAAGCTACAAGACAAAGGTGACTTTTTCTTGCATTCCTTGGTTTTCTAAGTCAGATGAATTAATGAATGTGAAACTAGAAACACATGCCCACATATAAACATTTAGAGATACACACACATACACACACACACATACACAGAATAAATTACTGAGACCTTGTTTGAAAAGTTTACAGTTCTGCTGTGGCTATTTAAAAGAGGATCCCTTTACCTTTTTTTCACTTATTTTATTTTATTTATATTTTATTATGAAAATACTGTACAGAGGGGTTACAATTATATGGGCAAGATAATGAGTACATTTCTTATCAAGCATTGCAGCCTCCTCCTTTATTTCCCCTTCTCATCCCTTCCCAGCCTCTCCCCCCCACCACCCAATCCTGCCCCGCCCACCAAAGTTGTAAAGTTCGTTTTTGACATGACAATTTGTACTTCTCGTAGCTGCAACGGGTCCACCTGTATCCTTATTTAAATGGCTTGTTTTTCCCCTTCCCCTCCACAAATTATACCAACATCAAATACAGTGAAAGCAGGGGTTATACTGTGGGGGAGGGACATACAAAGCAACAAAGAAATAATCTTATAAATGCGTTAGAAACAAATGAATGAAAGAAAAAAAACATTTAAGTACATATCTTAGGGTTCATTTTCCTAACATCACCTAATCTGACCTTTTCTGCTTGACTCATATATATACTAGATATTGCAAATAAGGGAAACCAAAGCCCATGGATTGGGAGAAGATCTTCACTAGCCATACAACAGACAAGGGTCTCATATCTAAAATATACTTGGAATTTAAAAAATTAAATCCCTCAACAACAAATCCTCAAAGAAACAACTGCCCAATAAATAAGTGGGCTAAAGACTTAAAGAGAAACTTCTCTGAAGAAGAAAGAAGGATAGCTAATAGACACATAAAGAAATGCTCAACCTCCCTAGCCATAAAAGAAATGCAAATTAAAACAACATTAAGATACCATCTCACCCCAGTTAGCATGGCAAAAATCAAGAACTCTAATATCAACAGATGCTGGAGGGGATGTGGACAGAAGGGAACCTTACTTCATTGTTGGTAGGAGTGTAAACTTGTTCAACCACTTTGGAAAGTAGTATGGAAGTTCCTCAAAAGACTTCACATAGAGCTCCCCTATGACCCAGCAATCCCACTTTTGGGCATTTACCCAAATGTTTACAAACAAGACCACACTAAAGCTACCAGCACAACTATGTTTATTGCATCATTATTTACCATAGCTAA